CTACCTACCTACCTACCTACCTACCTACCTACCTACCTACCTACCTACCTACCTACCTACCTACCTACCTACCTACCTACCTACCTACCTACCTACCTACCTACCTACCTACCTACCTACCTACCTACCTACCTACCTACCTACCTACCTACCTACCTACCTACCTACCTACCTACCTACCTACCTACCTACCTACCTACCTACCTACCTACCTACCTACCTGCCTACCTACCTACCTACCTACAAGATAGGTGACATACAAATGCATCACTTTAAATTGTCACATTTCACAATAGCAGCATCCGGGGAATTGGAGGGGCAAAAGACGACATCATACTAAACAGTAGTAGTTTTAATTCCATATTAGATTCGCTTTCTTGATATACAGCCCACATAGTGATACAGTAATATTTACTTCATGACATTTCAATCATAAACGTTTGCTCATAATCATATCAATGTGTCGACACAGCTTTCAACATCTCATTTGTGTATTCTTATCACCTCATATTTTTTTGTTTTTTATTTAATTGATAGAAAAACCTTCCATATCTCTGGTATAGGTGTTGCATCATTCTTATTACACGTGCTAGGTGTCGATTCGATTAACAGTGATTCAGTAATCAACCCCTCTCTCCACATAATTATACTGTAATTAAGTACTATGGTTTTATCCCCCCACACACACACTATTGTGTGGTTGTGTATGTTAATCCATACATTACAATAGCCGAGTATTTCTCCAGATTAGAGATTCTCTTGGATTGTATCATTCTAAATTTAGTGAAACAAACAATGAGAGCGAAGAAATATTTCTTTTCAATTAGTTCCTCATCAATGGCTCTACACTATCATATGTAGCATTTTCAAACGTAAAACTACATACCAATCTAGTGGTGAGAGTTGTTCAATTAAAGGTTATCAATCTCAGAGTATCAAGAAGGTGATAATTGATCAGGTAATTAAGACAGTTAACTAAAGCAAAGATTAATTATCGTAGAAAGATTTTGTGAACAGGTTCTTACATAATTTATATTTTATATAATGATAACTAAAGAGCAAAAATGAACTGTTACGTAAAATGGTAAATTGTTGATGGTAATTAGAGACAGTAGGGGGAAAGAAAGATGTCTAAGTCTGTAATAATAATAATAATAATAATAATAATAATAACAATGGAGCTATTGAAATATTAGTTATAGTGAATTGTGTGGTGAATGGAATGAAGAGTCTTGTTGTAATGACTGAGCTATACAGATGGCCAAGGCAAAGAAAGAGGCTGTACGAATCTCTTCTGAACACACAGACTTGGCTTGTGTAGGTGGATTCCTATGGCTTCTGCTGTATGTAAAAGACGAACTCGTAGAGGATGGGTGAGGTGAGAAGGAATGTGATAAATAACTTTAAGGGCATTATGAATGTTAACTCGGTGGCCGGTGTCAATCAGATAAGAGAGTATTGAGCTTCGTGTCAATCTGGTTTCCCCCTTACTTAGCCATGAAGGATGATGCTCGGCGATTCGACAACGGACTTGCCTAACTGTACGTCCAATGTAACTAGCTACACAGGAGCAGTTGAACTGGTAAATGCACATAGAAGAGGAGAAGTCAGGGAGTCTGTCTTTAGTTCGTGTGGTCGTCATCGGCCGGCTGTAGAAAACACAACCTAACTTGGCGGCATTAAATGATCTTATGGCATTTGTTAAGCGTTGTGTCACAATTTCGCTGACGATGTCACCTCGAAATTATAGTCTTAGGAACAATGGTTTCTTGGAGACTGTAGGCATTCTGAATTTAAATAAATTTCAGTTCTAATTGACTCCAGCCGGCCAGTCTGACCTATGATTTTAGGTGGAGAGAGCACAGGTAGATGAAGGTTGACAATTTTTTTACGACTTCCAAGATAGTGAGAAGTGAACGAATACAACCTATTTTAACTTATGTCACCAAATGTCTCCAATTATTGATTTTTGATGGTTTAAGAACCACTGTAAAGCAGCCCACATCTCTCTATAGGATTCCATCTTTGTGAACTAACTAAATGAAAGATAGATATGTGAAAAGATACTTTTGATCACACGCAGTCAAATTTTCTTGATTCACTCTTATGAGTTGACTGAGATGAGTTCATACAAGGAGGAATTAAAAAATAAATCAGTAAATTTAGTTCGTACAGATATTCATTAAAATAATCACAACCAACTTCCCTTTTGGTTTAACTGTTTGATGGCTAACAATGGAATCCAAGATGAGCGTTTCGTCTCCTTTGGGACTCGTTAGTTAGATGTACCTGAACCGTAGGAAGTAATTTTGTTCCTACTGAGATTTGAACCCCATGACCATCTCTTTAAGCGCCAAAACGTTATATCCACTGGTCTACTGGGACGTAACGGCTACTAACTTTCCTTGGATAATAATCAGAGAAATCTATCATGTTGAACTAGGTAGCCCTAATTCTTTCCTCTTTTTTGTGAATACATTTCGCTTCTGCCACTTTGTATTACTGTTTCCTCCCTCTCTCTCCCCCTCTCTTTTGACTGTTTGCTTAATTTAGGCAACTGGTTAGCTAACTGATTTATTATTCAATCAATCATACCTATCAAACCCTTCTATTGGTCACAAAATCTTCCCTAGTTTACAAGTTTAAATTATGCATAAACTGCATAGAATATTTTAAAAAAATTTTCTTTTGTTTGTTTACTGGTTCATTTTAGATGTTTGCATTTCTTATGGTGTTGTTACTGTGCTAAGGTTGTATAAATAAAATAAATAAATGAATTTGTTCACTGGTTAGTAGTTGATAATCAATCAATAATTTCATATGACTAACTATGATCATTTAATCCATTAACTGATCGATAGTGATTAGTTAATTAGTGTGTATATGTTTATGGGTATAATTTCGATTGTATCTAAGACGCCTCTATCACTCACTCTTTATTTTTTATTATTGATTATTATATTCTGATTTACAAAATTTTTATCATGATTTTCTTCCTCTATATAGTTATGGTGTATTTGTGTTTAATAAAAGGCGAACAGTGTGGGTTTTATGCCTAATCAACGTTATTATAATAATAATCAGATTTTCAATCAGTAAAAAAGATAACCAAAGTTTAAAGATATTTTATACTCTCTTTCTTCAATGGAAATGGTGTTGACATGTACAACTTATTGAAACTAGTAGTCCAGTAGAAAAGGTATGTCATTGACGATGCTGATAGAAAGATAAAGACATATGACCAATTCTTGAGGTCAATAAGTATTGACCTGGTTCATTTCCAAGAAACGTAGACTTTTAAATTGATAGTTTCATTTCTGAACATAATATTATTGTCACTATTTAGAAATAGTATTCATCATGGACTGACATCACTGGGGAACCATTGGAAATCTGGGAGCACTGGACAGCTGTTCCCTCCTAGTACGCGACTCCTCAGTAGTACGCACCCACAACCCGGCTAGAGATTGTACTCAGGACCTTCAGGTCTCACGGCGAACACGTTAACCATTCAGTCACTGGGTCGGTTTCCAGTGGTTCACGATTTCCAACTTCTGTCAATTCATGACATAGCGTGACTATGACCCAAGGTCTTCAGTTAGCATCCACTTCACTTCCGACTGGTTGACCATACAGGTGACGGCTTGTCATTAGACCTTCGTGATATTCATCTGGAAGCAAGTCACTAGTGAGCACTATACAGTGATGTATTTTTGAGATGAATGGAGATTGTTTAATTTAGAAGTAGTATTCATCATGGACTGTCTAATGCTCCCAGATTTTCAGTGGTTCCCCAACTGATGTAGGTCCATGATCAATACTACTTCTAAATTAAAAAAATCTTCATTTATCTCAAAAATATGTTTTCACTATTGTCAAACCTTCGTATTTGCTTGCTTCATATGTTTACTTTTTTCTGTTATTCATACACATTGCACAAGAGACGATTCTCGCTACTCAGTAGTCGAGTGGAAGAAGCGATGAGTGTTGTATACGAGTCCCAATAAGGTCATCATCAGACACTGGGACACATGCATATTCAGCTGATGAGTCCCAAATGGGATGAAATACCAGTTATAGACTTCATAGTTAGCAACAATTATTTAAATTATGTTTCTTATTTATGTTCTGTTTAACTTTGTATGAAGCTGATGCCCGTCGGTTGAGACTGTCAATTGTGGACCAGCTTGACCACTGATTCAAGCTTCCCCTTCCACAATTTCAAGTGCTTTGAGCATTCATAGAGTACTGTCAGCTATCACAGTATTTAGGTAACTTTAAAGGCTACCCTAGCAACTGATGAGATAGCCAATTAGATTCCTTCATTTTCTCAGACGAAATACCTAAACCTGGTTGGTCCTTTCAGTAGTTGCTTGGATGGTCTTTAAAGTCACTCTAGTATTTGCATTTATACACGCCTGCAGATTTGTATCGCACATTTTATTTAGGCTGTGACTCGTCAGTAGCCTATCATGCGTGGGGGAGTAAAGTATGGTCGAGCTATGCAAAGCATTATTGCAAAGTATTATTGATGAGTAGTGTCTAGCTGTGGAAGCTAAGATGTGAGTCTCGCCTTATTTGGGACTCTTCAGCTGGACATACCAAGCTCCCAGTGGACAATGCTGTTCTCACTAGGACTCGAACCCAGGACCAATTGCTCCACTGAACTACTGAAAAACACCAGCAGCACCGAGGCATCCGCACTGGAGCCCGTATGCCGATAGTGGTCCATCAGTTCGGTCCAGTCCACGAAAAAGATGCACAAGTTATATCGTCAAAGTTAACCTGAATTCTTTACAAAGTAATATGTTTCACTACAATATATGGGAAACGTCAGTTACGGTGTACACATTAGTCCTTTTATTACTGCCAACCTATCCGCACTCATAACCACATACTCACAGCACCGAGACAAAGTTCAATCATATTTTATTGTTGTTTGAAAAACGATTCTCACAATGACCTAAAAGCTCTTTCTCTCACCCTTCTTATATATTCAGATCTTCGTGAAGCCTTCACCCTGTTCGATGTAAATCGAGACGGTCGAATAACTGAAACTGAATTAGAATCAGTCCTCGGTTTTCTCGGCGTGAAAACAACTCGAGATGAAGTACGTCGGATGATTCGAGATGCTGACTGTGATGGTAAGTTTCATTTTGAATAAATGAACTAAATACTCATATCCTTTTAAGTATCGATAGTTATTTAACTCCTTCTTTTCCACTGCATCTAAACAGTATGTCGATTCAGCTGTTTGTATAAAACAATGACGTAACAGAGAAGTAGATTTTCCTTTACGACTATTTCACTTAATAAAGCTGACATACTTGTAATGATACTGAGCGATGATTTAAAGTGAGATGGAAATTTTAATCACAGTAGAAATCGAACTAGCGACCACCGTGTCTGGTAGCTCAGTTGGTAGAGCACTGGCCCAGAAACCGTAAGCGTATTTTGGAGCAGTGTCTAGCCTCGTTATCAAGAACCGCAAGAAGAAATATCAGTAGTTTTATTCTTGAATCCCTTGTCATCTTCGGATATCTAGCCTCTCCTAGTAGTCCTTTCGAATTAATTTATGGAGTGCTCGTTAACAACTATAATTGTCTTCAATTGAATGGTTGAACTGAAGTAAAAATCTGGTCAGCAGTCGGGCGTCGTAGTTCACTTGGTAAAGTACCGAGCCGGAAACCCGGTTGTCACTGCTTTGAAACTGGTTGCGGTCCAAATTTTCATTTCTCCTTCAATCATCACCCAGTACAAATTCTGCTGGATCATCTAGATATAGCCGAATCATTGGGAATTCACAAACTTAAACCTGATCTTTGTGTTCATTAACACTATATGCACTCACTAGTCTTACCATGATCGAAGTTGTAATACTCTTCTGTCTTTAGAAACAACTGTTTCATTCTGCTATTGAATAGTATAGCTGGTACATGACTCTAATGATTAACAACAGACAAATCAAAGTAGAACCTCACACACAAGAACATCACTTCAACTTTCTACCCTTCACAGTTGTCTACAAAGAACAGGTAGATAGATAAAAAAGTGGCATCAGAGTAGATAAAGTTTTGTATGACAGTAAACAATCTGTAGACAAAGGTTAGTGCGGACATTCAATCTTCAGATGTCAGCAGCTGAATACTAGGACGAAACACTTGTCTATTGCTCTCAGGTCTCCAATGATTCTCCAACTGATGTCAGTCCATGATGAATACTACCTTAGAAAAAAATATCTATAGTAGGTTGGAATTCATTATGAAGTGACATCAGTTAGAAGAACATTGGAAACCTGGGAGCACTGGATAGCTGTTTCGTCCTATTGTGGCACTCCTCAGGGGTGGGCACTCATGACTCCGCAACGCCAGAGATCTAACCAAGGACTATCAGGTTCTATGGCCAGTACGTTATCATTGAGCCACTTGGTCGTAATCCAATGGTCCACATTTCCAACTCAACGATGACGTTGGATGTAGGTCGCGCTACATCGTGAACTGACGGAAGTAGGAAATGTGAACCGCTGGGTTCCAACCGAGTGGCTCAAGAGTAACGTCGATAACATAAGTAAAAGTCAGTTGGAATCAAGAAGCAAGAGTTCCGAACAAACTGAGTAGACACTTATCAATTAGCAGATAAATAAATTATTTCCGTAATAACATTATGAAAAATAAAAGACTAGTTGGACTTAAGAATTGGAAAGTTTAGGAATTAAGAAGTGAATAAGGATAGGGAATGGTAAAGTCGCACCTGAATACACAATCCCGGTTTCCATTGTTGTATTACCAAGGCTTTAGCAATGCATAGTAAAAGTCTCCTCATGCCCTTCGAAAGATTGCGTTGTACTCCTGGGATTGTGTGTCCACTGTCAACCGGGTGTTGTAATGTTGAGCTGTTGGTTGATAGGGACTGACCGTTACTGAGCCATACCGGAAGGTTTTGGGGTCGATGTTCGACAGTCTACTTCCACGTACGGCTTATCCTCCTCGCTCCATAGAAGCAGGTGAATTGATATAAGCACTGCGAAGTGGCTAGCACTGACGATCTGTCCTTTGCACACATGTTCACTATTGGGCGACTAGTATAGGTAAGGGATTTGCAGACTGGTTGCACATAATTCTCTTTCCATTCGCGCTCATCATCCGACAGACATAGTTCTGTTTATGTACAAATCACCTACTAATTCTCAGCATTCACTGGGTATACAGTGAATCAATCGATAATTTTCACCACCGTGTCTTGTAATTAATTACTTACAGAATTTTTTCACATATGTAACACAAAAGCAGAACACACTGGTTGTTTGTTCATCAACGTGGTTTTTTTCGTTGTTCATGCTTGCTAATTGTGATACGTTTTTGTGTTGAACAATTTGTCTTCATACCTTTGTAATGTAGAGTTAGGTATTTGCTCGTGTATGTTTATGTGTCTTGTGTTACTTTTCTTTTTGCTTGCATTCGGAATTGAGACTGTAGGATTTTGATAGAACTAAGCACGATTTATGGGAAATTGCCCCTCTGTTATATGTGTCTGTGTGTATGTGTAGACAAGGGTGCACTGTTTGTTCAAGTACAGTTGTGCGTTTCCTCGTATCCATCTTGTTATTCATGTCTTCCGAATTTATCCTTGTCTCTGTTATTGTCTCCAAGTTCACCCTCAACTAACTAGGCCAATGATTATATGGATTAAAATATTCTTTACACTTGCCTGCTGTTTACGTGACTAACAGCTTCGATCTGTTGAAAAGATATTGAATAATGGTTTAATTTGATTCCAAGGTGGTATTCACGGAATGATATTAGTTGGAGAACCATTGTAAATCTGGGGACACTGGACAGGTGTCTCGGCCTAGCATAGAATTCATCAGCAATGCGTAACCATAACCGCATCCCACCAGCGATCAAACTCAGGACTTTCAGGTCTCGTGACAAAGCTGTTAACCACTCGCGCACTGGGTGGAAGTTTAGTAGTCCACAGTTTCCTACTTCCGTCAGTTCGTGATATAGCACGATTATTATGTAAGGTTTTCCTCTGGCATCCGCTTAACTTCCGACTGGTTTACACCACATAGGTCCAACTAGGAGATATTCTAAACCTGGACTTACTAATTCGTAAAGCTTAAAGTAAACCTTAGATGACTGTGAGAAAAAGACCAGCTTTGGTGTAGTTAACTTTTACCGATTGACATGAATCTAGAGGCAATTAAAAATAAGCTCAAAGATTATCATGAGATTACAACTCGAATGAAGTTCCTAATCGAGGAGATCAGGATAGAAGTGCAGTTGTGTCTGACACACTTCTTGAATTTCAAAACAAAATGTTCAAACAAATAAGAATTGCCGTGAGATCATCAATATCACGTATCCATCATAGAATCATTTTTAGATAGTCTGAAAGGGATGACACCTGACACATTTAGTCCTACTCCAACGATATGTTTGAAATATGCAGCTGACATATTGTCACTACTGAAATTGGAGCATATAAATAGATTTCCTTTACCATTTATATTACTGAGCGTGAACGATGATGATGATGAAAGGAAGATGGAAGTTGTAACAGTTGTATCTGTGGAGCCCCTTCACATTCCAGTCGATAATAAGAATTCACATCATTTCACCCTGAGTCCATTAAAGTAGACCTATTAAAATGTCTGAGTAACAGTATGAGGAATTTACTGGGAGACAAAAAATTGAGTAGAAAAATCAGATACACTAGAGACACCTTATTCTTCAACAATTACCCATATAACTTTACCAAAAACTTCATAAAATGTTGTAAGAAAACTAGGAATAGTTGTGGTAACACAAGTGTTAATAATATTAGTAAGGGTGTCATTGTAGAGACAGTGTTCAAAAGGCTATGAGGTGTTACCATACAATTACGGCACATCAGAAACGTTGCAGAAGATTCTTCATAAGAGTGGGATTAGAGTGGCATAAGAACCTTTAAACTCACTTAAAAAGAAGCTTTTTAGGTTAAAAGACTCTATTGTGTCAATTAGGCGAGATAATTCACTTCATCAAGCCCCTCGTAACAACTGTGAGGTCAAATACATTGGTCAAAATAGTTGATCAGGAACAGTTTTACCATTCGAACAGAAAAATTGGGTAAATCAAGATTGGTAAGTAGTTATTAGTTGGCTGGAGGTGATCAGCAGGAAGCCCTACTGGTGCTTGTTGCTACACTTTAACAAGGCTTATTCGCAACTCCCGACGAACTGACGTCCCGCCTAAGGTTCGAACCCATACCACCCTAGTTTCGTAGTCAACAGTGCTAGCACTGAACTATTCAGGCGGCAATTGATCTCCTGTAGACGTGCATTGCGCACACTGGTTGGTAGGTTTTAGTATGATTAGCTTTAGCTCTGCATGCAATCACGCAGGTCCACAGAATAGTATAGAACATCGTCATAGTCCTTCTTTTGATGGAGAGAGAGAATGATAACTCAACCTTTGCCTGTCATCCCAACACCAAATAGACGCAATAAAAAGGATCCAGTACCTGTTTCAGACAGATGAAACATTCTACTATCCACATCACGAAGCAGGAAAGATTATAAAGCCTATGTAAACTATATCTCAAAGTTGTGGAATTGTCTTGATATGACTACGGACAATAAATTGTGTCCAAAACGTAATTCAGTAAACAATACTGTTCCACTTTATGATATATCAAATAAATCAAGTGAAATTGGATTCAGCCTGGAGGTTTGTGGGTATTTATTGATTTAAGGTTGATACTCATCGCAAACTGAAATCAGTTGGAGAACCATTGGAAATCTGGGAACAATGGACAGCTGTTCCGTCTTAGTGTAAGACTTTTCTACAGTGCGCACCTATGAACTCGCCAGGGACTGAACTCAAGGCCTTCAGGTTCCATGGCTACCACGTTATTACTGACCAACTGGGTCGGAATCCAATGGTCCACAGTTTCTTACTTTTGCCAGTTCACGATATATAGCGCAACCTCCATCCACGGCCGTCATTGAGTAACTGTTTTCACGCCTGAGTTGACTGTTCTCGCTGGTCACGACTTCTCATTAAATTTTCGGGAATCCCATCTTGAAGCACTTGGCAGCAATTCAATTTGTGAAGGCTCATCTTCTTTTGCCTTTTTTGTCCGCCTACTATGAGTAGTATGA